CCGGTACGTCCGTCCCGTGAGCGCGTGTGGAACCCACGCAGATATTTGGCAGCACTCTAAAAATGGCCGCCGCCAGCTGGTTTTTGCATGCCTTATCTATGCCACGCAGTAGCATCCATTCACTGCTGGATTGTTCCATAGTTTCTGACACAACCCCATCCCTCTCCCAATGTTAAAACGCTCATCCGTAGGTGAGGGGCCGGCCATTCCGGGTTTGCCCAAGATAATGTATTGGTATTCACAGCAAGACATGTGAGGGTGGCACGCATCAGAACCTTTTCTTATATATCAAAATTTATAGTGCTTGTAGGTAAACGATACCAAAATGATTGAAACCATTGAGGGTGGAGATGTGGGTGGGGAGAATCCCCTCAATTTTCAAAAAAGGGACATTTCAAACTTGCGTGTTTGCCAGGGGAACGCACACTTTCTACATTTTCCTGTGAATTTTCAAGTCAGCTGCCCCTCGATTCCAGTCTAACACCTGTAATGACGATTGATAACCTCCAATCTCAGATGCGGATACACTGTTGCACTGACTGCTTTGAATCCCCAGATAGCCAGATGTCCCGGGCCCGCAACCGCTGCGGAGAAAGATCGTTGAGAGAGCGGATTGCTGCATTTGGTAGGGTCGGTCCGATTTAGCTGCACGTGCTTTTCTATATCTGTCTCACACGCGCATGAATTGAGCATTGATGACAAAATAAGCGCGCAAGCACATAAGTTGCGCCCTGGACCGCGTATGTGGGGATAATGGCTCAAGCTCTTCGGCCTATTTGGTTCACAGCGTTTTAACAAGCTCGGGGAATATGCGTCAATTACTCAAGAAGGTAACAACGAAATTTCCGTCTTTTCTCGTGTGCCTTTTGGTCGTGTACTAGTGCTTAAACATGGTAGACCTCCTGGATCCTGGGCCTCGTTTTGAAACCATCCAATAACTTCATGCCACATGTTGGTGCATGCTGAATCCGTCACCATAATTTTAGGCACGGTCTTAATTCTTGCAGTATTTTTTTTTAGAAAATGCTAGGGTGGAAACTGGTTCTTTCTGAACTTCTGATGCGCTGGATCATTTTGCATTAATTCTGGTTCCTGGCTGCTTCATGGTTCAAGAACTGGGCACCATCTCCAACAGATAGCTATTGGGAACTAAATTGAGGTGTGGAAAACGTGATACATCACTGGTCATGGGCATCTTTATTTTTTTATTGTCATAGCAAAGGCTCATTGTGATCCAGCACCTGGCCTGAGAAGCTAAAAATGAGTTGGTGCAAATATAATGTGGTATGTTCATGGGCAAATTTTGCTGAATTCTGTGTATGAGCATTTAGTTTTAATGGATCACAAGCTCAGTCATGGGGGATCAATGGAAGATTCTAAACCATTTGCGATGTGCATGCCATTTTCCACCTTGATCTGAAAGTTATGTTTTTCATTTGAAGCATTCAAGTCTTCTTGATAGCACTTTGGAATATCTTGTCCTACTTGCCAGCATCTCCTGGAGCAGTGAGGGACCAGAGGACTGCTATAGTGTGCAGTGCTGTCATTGAAAACCCTAGGCTAATTTAATTTACCTTGAATGAAATGGCCCATTTGGTACTGTGCAAGCTAAAAGAAAGAGTTGATGGAAGGTTATATCATATGTTTAATAGCTCTGTGATTCTCCTGACATTGCCATTAGTGTGCATTTGCAGCTCTGGCCTGTGGGTGCTGTGAAGTGCATAGTACTGCTCTATACATTCTTGTGATTTAATTTTTGTTTTTGTTTTGAATGGATGGATTGCTGAGGCTGGCTTGCAGCTGGATTGCTCACACTAGACAGTGCTTGTTATGCGAACCCTGACCACTGCCATCCGATCATGAAATTTCAAATGAACAGCAGAGTTTGATAACAAAATTTTAATGTGCCACAATTCTGGGCACAGTCTGTCCTGCCCCCTGATGCCACTGGAACCATTTGCATGACCACTGCCACTGCCCTGAGGACTTATCAGTCAAAGGCAGCTAACAAGTGCCCAAAGTGACTTGAACCCAGTCCACCACAGGTGGGTGGATTGGAAGGCAGATGCTCTAAACCAACCAAGCTTTCAGGACAGATATATAGCATTGGCATGTCCTGAAGCTACCTAATACTTCCTGACAATACATGCAGTCCAGACAAAAATTAGTTTGCTTGTTACATTTGTTGTCAAGAATAAACAAAAAGTGCAGTTGAACTGACAATCTGTATTGACAGATGATGTTCTCTCACTCTCAGAAGCTGATGTGCCAAATGTTCAGCCATAATGCATACCCATCCAGGGTATCATACTGTGTCAGCCTTGTAATGAAAAGGGCATGCTCTACACAAGCTGCTGCTCCAGAGAAAGTTAAAAATGCTACTAAAGCATTTGAAAACCAAGAGGAAAAGTGTGATGAACAGCAACATTGTGATGAACATGATGGCTATGACAGTCCAGCCAAAGAAGATGGAAAAAAGGCAAAGCGGACTTATAAGAAGAAAACAAAAAAAGAAATTCTAGCTGATCATGTCTCCCAAGAGCCAAGGGCTGTGCAAGATATATTGCATCAGTATAGTGATCAACTGAATTGCCGGAAGCAGGACCCAGGGATGATGTACATCATCAACAATGCCATAGCTGGTGAGCACTGTTTCTGGTAGTTTATGATTGTTATATTGTATTTGAAATTGTAAATATAATTACGATGACCAGCAAGCCGTGAGCAATGCACAGGTGGGGTGTGACAGGACTATCGGGCGGGATGAGATGCGATGAGAAGGTGAAGATTGGATAAAAAATTTTCAGGTGTAAAGCCATCTTTGGATCATAAGTATGGGTGAAGGAATGTAGAGGACTGGGTCTAGTGAGATCGAGGCAGACGCCAAAGGTCATGTCTTCTTTGGGGCTGTCTGAGCATTGCATCTATGCCTGGTAAATGACACCTTACATCCAACTAGCATTCTGCCTGCTTAATGAAAGTGGTGAACCAGAAAAGTGATCACAGCTAAGGTGAAAAGCATCATAGTCATGTTGTTACTTTTTACATGTCAGGAAAAAGGTCGTTTGCAAATTGTTGCGGCGTGGTTACGCGATCGTAATACTATGCTTGTGATTTAAAAATCGCTTTCCGTCGAATCCGATTTAGATGCTCAGTACTTCAGTCTCAACCTTCATGTACAATTGTTGCCTGTCGGGTCAGCGTGGCGTCCGTTTCCAACTCGAGTGGTCGTGAGCGCCGCCCGCCGTCGCGTCCGGCCGTGCCGCTGGTGACGCTGGTGCCGTGGTCCGTCCCCAGACCGGCTCGTGCAGAGCCTGGACCCGGGCGAGCACCATGTGCCGCACCTGGAGCTGGGCCCGGGCCCGGGCGTGCTGACCCGCCGCCTGCTGAGCGCCGGCGTGCGTCACAATCACGTGCTTCGAGCCGGCCGCCGCCTTCCGCAGCAGCGTGCTGGTGGGTTATGTGCGGCTACTGGGACAGGCGCGCGGCGGGGATCTGAAGAGCCTGGAGGGGCCGGGATATCGAAGCGTTTCGTTAGGCGTGTGGTACACATTCAGTGTATGGTACCCAGTGGCAGGACTTTGGGTCCTGCCACCCCGAGGGTAGATCATATCACCAGTCATGTGTCTGCTGGCTGGTCTGAGACTTACGGTCGTCTCGCCTTGACGCGTGGGGGAGGCAGGGGGCGGTGCAGTGACAACCTGCTACTGGCTGACACCGCAACTGGTCAACTGACAGCTGATAATGGTCAGCCAGCCGACGGCGACACCCGGTGCCGGCAGGAGCTGCAGGAGGAGACGGGCGGCGCTGTCCGACTGACACCGCTCAACTTGCTCCAACTGCCCAAGATGTGGGGCGCGGCGACGCACGGCCAAGAGGCGCGGCTGCAGCAGGCACTGGATGGCCTAAGCTGGCGCCCCTGGCACCAGGGTCAGTGACGCGGGGGAGGGGGGAGGGGGGGGGGGAACTAGTCGTGGTCAGCCCTGGTGTCGTCGGGAAGGGTGGGAGAGGGCTTGTGTGAGATGGAGCGCGGACGAGATCGTCCGTCGGAGCTTGCAAGTCGAGTTATAGCTTGGTGGTCGAGTTTCTGATAGGTGTGGGGAGACAGTGAGGCAGCAAATATGCTTGGAAAACATGCAGTGCATTTGCTCACGTCTGTCCACAACCCTCACACCTTTGTGTGTTCAAAGACGGCTCTATTCGACGTGCGATGGCTGGTCGCAGCAGCCGGCGAGGTAGGTGAACATGAACTCGTCCCGGACCTGCTGCGTTGGAGCCATGACCCTCGATCCCCGCCCCGCTAACTGCCGGCCCGGTCCCATAGGGCCCTGCCTGCGCGTGGTGGGCGTGGCACACCGCAGCACGTTCTTCCGCTACCTGGTGCGCACGGTGGTGGAGCGAGAGCACCTGTTCCAGTTCGGCCGACCCGAACTGGTCGTGTATGTGCCCAGCTCCGAGGTCGAGGTGAGCCTTGTGGGGGGGGGGAGGGGGGAGGGGGATACCCGCCGTGAGGATGCCTTTGTCCGACTTTGTGTTGAAGGACCCGGGATCGAATCCCACGCGCTCCGGACATATTTCACTGACGCCGCCATGACCGGTGGCGCAGGAGGTGGCGGCGGCGTTGACGTAGCGGCGAATGCGTCGACAAGAACATGACTGGAAGGGCGCTCCTTCGATTCGTGTGTTAGAATGCAGCTGGTCACACCGTGGTACCAGCTGTAAATCGGACCTGTAGCCGCCGTCAGTGAGGCAAGCATGCCAGCAGTGGAGGAGGCGTCGCTCGGTTGCGTTTTGAACGTCGGTCACCGTGCAATACGGGAAGATGTCTGCCAAACGGTGCATAAGTGTTGGGGCTGGTCCCCGGCCCCACTGAAGTACGTTGGCAGCACAACCGCTCTGCGGCGTACTGTTACTACCAGTCGGTTGGGTTCGCGTGTAAAAGGCCAGTCACAGAGCTATTAATCGAGTTCTGTCCGGCCAGTTTCGATGAATCTGGCACCAAAGAAAGGCTGTTCAGTTGCTCTACGCCATTCCGTTGACTTTTTTTTGTCTGGAGACGCTAGGCTCTTACGACGTACCAGGTCAAATTTTTCGTGAACGGTGCTCCGTGAATTTTCCGACATTCGCGGTGAATACGATGTTTCCGTAGCTCAAACGGTAACGCGCTGGCTACTTGATCAGAAGGTTGTGTGTTCGAAGGTGGAGCGTTTCGGAGGTTTTCAACCTGTTTTCCATAGAATATGCTTATTTGTTTGCCATCAGCCAAAACATGCTGTCAGTAAAATTTGGTGTGCGGCTCCTTGAGGGCTTCTTGCAAAAGTCTGGGCACAACATTCATTCAGATTTGGGATACATTCAGTATTGTGGCACTTTCATGCTACCTTCAGTCACCGGCTGCCGAATAATTTAGTTTAAACTAGGAATCTAGTCTACACCGCATATCTAGTGTATTTCTAGTTTGGTACTGGAGATTTGTTTACTAAACTTCGTTCTACCTGATATTTATTACTTTGGCTGGTCCCGGCTTCTGTAGCTGATGTTAGAATTCCGTCGTCGCCCTTGTGGTGTTGGCAGCCTCAGTACCGCCGTGGTGTGCCAGTGCTGACTAATTGTGCGTCGACCCTCTCAACAGAGGCTGACCTCGTCCCCTGACATGAGCGGCCGGGCGTACCGGCCGTACAGCATCCTCAGCCAGATTTTTTTCGACCTGGAGCTGCTGCGCCGGGTCCCGGCCAAACACTTCTACCCCTGGATGATGGCGCGCAAGCGGGTCAGTACTGCGACGGCTGCGGCTGCGACTGCCGCAAGAGGTGTGCTGGCCTGACACGTCGCGTGCGCGCCGATGATTGGAGCCGGCCGCGTGGTCGCCGTGGCGATGCCCAGCCGCTCTCTGCCGCGTGGACTGACTGCCGTCCTGCCGCGTGCCGTCGCCGCCGTCTGACCGGCTGGTGGGCCTCAGGTGTCCTTCACCGACATGGACATGGTGCTGATCCGGTACACGCCCAAGGTGGACCCCGGCCTGCCGGACTCGGAGCTGCCCAACCTCGACTTCTTCATCCGCCACTGCACCGTCTCGAAGAGGAGGCGTATCGTCCCGCAGCTTGAGTGAGTGCCTGAGCAGTGCGGCTTGAGTCGGTGTGTGATGGGGCGGGCGCCAGGTCACTGGAGACTTTCCAGGCGCCGTCGGCGAGTCTTTGTCATGCGCGACTGAAGCTCTACCGACCTATGCATGAGCTATTCTATTAAGATGTGTTTATTTAGTGAAGTTAATTAGTGTCGTTCAATATTTACGACATTATGTAGAAGCAAGGGTTCTAGATTCGCACACGTATTCCAATGGAGTTCGGCTTTTGTGAGAGAAGATAGATTAAGTCGTCGGAACGCTTTGATCTCGGACAGGACGTTTGCCTGTCTAAAAACTGCTTCCATTTTCTTAACGACCGTGCAAACGGGGAGACGGAAGCCGGCAAAACAGGCCGGGGAGGAGCTGGAGCCGGACTGAATGAGGTTGTGATAGCGGCAGGAAGTTTACTGGCTGTCTGTGTAATGCATGCTCACGCTTGATTGAAATCAGCGTGTTTCTGCGCAAGTTCACGTGCTTTATGTCGTACTTGTTATGACATTGCGTGCTGATGCGCTTCTCGGTTTGATCTCGGTTACGGATTCCGTTGTGGTTAACTGGTATGAGGCTGTATGCTTAGAGACTTCCCAACGTGATGTATGCTCTGGGAAGTATTTACGTACCGTTTGTATGAGTGAGTCAGCCTGCTTTAAGCTCTATGTGTTCATGACTCCCGTCAATATGTTCTCCATGTGTTTCCAGTGATGATAGACATACGCGCTTCCACTTGTACTTGGTTGCCGCCCGCAATCTCCGTGATAACCCCGTCCGCTGCCAGTGAGGGATTGGCTGCCTGTGGTCCTTAGGGGAACATCTGCCCCTGGGAGAAAGGAGAACGTCCTTTGTTCACCTTAACTCCTTACAGGCAAAGGCGTGCATGGGGTCATCTGTACCCTTGAGAGGGAGTGTGTGTCCCCATCACCCGCCACTCCCCTGCTGACGGCTTGGTGTGGGTGTGGATGTGGGTGTGGGTGTGGACGTGGGTGTGGGTGTGGACGTGTGTGTGGATGTGTGTGTGTGTGTGTGTGTGTGTGTGTGTGTGTGTGTGTGTGTGTGTGTGTGTGTGTGTGTGTGTGTGTGTGTGTGTGTGTGTGTGTGTGTGTGTGTGTGTGTGTGCGTGCGTGCGTGCGTGCGTGCGTGCGTGCGTGCGTGCGTGCGTGCGTGTGTGCGTGCCCGTGCGTCCACATGACCCGCCGCGCCCCGCTGTCAGGGAGTGGGTGCCCGGCTGCGGTCCGCGTCTGATCGCGCTCGGTCACGGCGTGTTCTCGCCGTTCCGGGACCTCACCCCGGCCGAGCTGCTACGCCTCTTCCTCGAGTTCGCCTCGTGGCCAGAGTACTCGGCCTGCTCGTTCCACAACGCCGTCCAGCAGGTGAGACAGCACTGCCGGCCGGCGGGCGGAGTGGCAGCGGAGGCGACGGAAACTCAAATCGTCGCACTGGGTTAGGTGTGACGTCAGTCACTGCGCGTGACGTCATCTCACCGGGCTTATCGCTGAACAATGCGCGGAGCACATGTTGTTGTGTCGCGGCGAGGTGGTCTTGTGCAGCTGATGGGTCGCGGCGAGGTGGTCTTGTGCAGCTGTCGTTGTGTCGCGGCGGGGTAGTTTTGTGCAGCTGTTGTTGGGTCGCGGCGAGGTGGTTTTGTGCAGCTGTTGTTGGGTCGCGGCGGGGTGGTCTCGTGCAGCTGTTGTTGGGTTGCGGCGGGGCGGTTTTGTGCAGCTGCGAGTGGCTAATATTGCTGCGGCTTCACCGCCTGTAACACCAATGCTGAGGGTTTTGCCTTTCTCAAGCCATTGCTCTCTGCTGGTGAATGACCTTGGCTGGCTTTGCTAAAACCTTGCTTGTCAACCGAAAATTTCAACCATTCTGTGGCATATCATCGGACTGTTTCGTCAACATTGTATTGCTTCCTTTCCCCAGTGTTGACGATTCCATGATGCTGAGTGATGCTGTGGTTGAAAATATGTTTTGGGGCACATGAAGCACCGTTCGTGCATATCGGTTTTTCACCTGCTATGACTACCCGCGGTATGGTTGCTATCTGGAAAGCACAGTGCTAGTAGCGATTATCGGAGCTCGGCTAGCATTACGACATGACTCAAGGGCTACGTATTGTTTTAAAGTTGCGAAAGTATTTTGGCCTACTCTCCCAGAAGTTGTTGTGCTTCAGTGCATCATTGGAGAATATGGGCTATATGCTTATTGTGCTTAAGCGCTATTTTGGTCTAGTAGTGATGTCTATTTAAGTGGCGTTCTTTCTCGCGAAAGTCGAATCAGGCAATTCTTGAAATCTCGCCGAAGCCCCTGTCCGTCCATCACGTTCTCCATATACATGCAACGCCCATGGTCATCACGTGGCTTCCCCACATCTGCCGCGTCTGTGCCGGCCCGAGGCGTGCTGGTAGACCTTGTGGGCTGCGTAGTCCCGCGAATGCTGGACGTCCAACCACAGCACGGGAGGTGCGAGCCTTGTTATTTATCGGGGGCGACGGTGAGCGTGAGGGGAGACGCTGCTGATGTCAGCGACCGCCCGGTCAAATTGCATTCTGGCTTCTCGGTCACGGCTAAATTAAACCCCTTCACCAGCAACCTTCGTGCAAGAGCAGACTGCCTATAGGCTGGCCGGTGAGTGCCATTCGGAAATCTGGATCACGGCGGCGAGAGCAGTGGTGCCATCGCTGTGGTGGCTTGATGGGCTGGTCCTGACCCTGCCCTAACATCGCCCTGGGCGAGATGCTGACCCGTGTGTCTGTCGCCAGGACGCCCTGGGCGGGATGTCGGAGGAGCTGGATGATGAGGACCTGGCCGGCGAGGCTGGCGGAGACCTGGATGAGTTTGAGCCGGGTCGATGACCGACCGAAGGCCGTGTGAAGAACCAGCCGTGTTGGGGCGAGCATCCCGGCACTGGGAAAGCTCTCGTGGCGTGGCAAACGTGTGGGGCGAACCCGTAGTGGTGGAGCGAAGCTGCCATGGTGTGGCGAGTGGCTCGTGTCGGAGCGAGCGATGGCGCGAACCGGCCGTGGTGGCGCGAACCGGCCGTGGTGGTGCGAACCAGCCGTGATCGCGCGAACCAGCCACGATGGCGCCAACCAGCCGTGATGGCGCGAACCGGCCGTGATGGCGCGAACCAGCCACGATGGCGCCAACCAGCCGTGATGGCGCGAACCGGCCGTGATGGCGCGAACCAGCCGTGATGGCGCGAATCTGTCGGGAGTGGCGCTCTGAGTGAGATGCGACGCAGTGACAGTGTTCTAAGCTCCAAGGGGTGAGGCTGGGCGGGCCTGTGAACTCGGGTGGAATGAGGAGCAGGGGTGGGAAGTGGATGTCCCGCTGCGACAAGGAGAGGTGTTTTAATGGATTCTACATTGGTCAGCGTACCGGGTCCAGTTTTGTGAATGGAGTTTCAGCCAGATCTTATCTGGTGCAGACAATTGCGCGGGCTTCGGCTGAAATGCAGGTATTGTGGTTCTAGAACATTCGGTAATATTAGGAGATACGAGTGATCTGTGATAGGGCGCTGTAAGGCATGCCCTGTGCCAGGAATGCGTGGCGTGCGTCGAAGGACCTCTCCACCGTAGTATCATGACGCATAATACAGGCCAACAATATCTGCCCCTCAGGTTAAGCCGCACACCAGCTATGCTGGCAATTGGTTTGGGCGCTCGTTAATGACGGCATGCCAGTGTCATGCGATGGCTCACAGCGGAAGTGCCTTTCTTTTTTGTCTCATGTAGTTTTTGTTTCTGTTTTTGTCTTCCGTCACACTGTAGTCTGTTGTTGCGGTGTTCGCATGGAAACGATTGGATGCTGTTGTTTCTACCGCGGACAGTTTTTTGGTGACTTATGGGGCAATAGGCCTTGACGCTGCAAATGTAAATTTGTATCAAAACAGTTCTGCGTTGGCATTCACTAGTTCCGCTCCCTGTGCGGCAGTACCATGGAACTCCCAACGGCGAAAGCCATGCTAATTTGTGTCCGAGTTTTTATTCGCCGTGATCACAGCATTGGCTGTCCGGATTATCTCTGCGACGATAAACAGACAATAAAGATGTTATGCAGTAATCCGGCTCATTCCAGCTCATGAGCGTTTTGTGACTGTCGGGGCAGTCACGCCAGATGCTACCGGCGGCACGTACATGTATGCGGTATGTTGTACTTACAGCAGAGCTGCCTGGGTAGATGCCAACAATCAGCCGAGGAGCTTCGCCATGATTACCAGGCGGCGTCATATGCCTTATGTGTGGCCACGTAAGCGCGTGGCATGTGTGGCCATGTAAGCGCGCGGCATGTGTGGCCACGTAAGCGCGCGGCATGTGTGGCCATGAAGCGCGCGGAATGTGTGGTCGTGTGGGCGCGCTACAACTGTGGCCACCACTGTGCTACGGCCGCCTATGCGCTGGCCGCGCCACACGCCGTCCCAACTCAGGCGCGGCGGGGTCCGTGTTCGTGTTCGAGCATAGGACTTCTCCAGCCCCAGTCGTAGCCATAGTCGCGAACTACGGGAGTCGAGGAATCAAGCCATTGTTTTTTTTTCAACCGCGAGTTGCATATCTTAAAAATGACAAGTTGTATTGCTTTTGTGTGTGAAAAAGCATGCAAATCTTGGCCACAACACAGGGAGTATTTTTCACTCGTGCAGTATGATAAATCCAGTATATTTTTGGTGTCTGAGATAGGTGGTAACTGTGCTTACGGTAACCTGTCTCACATCTGTGGCTTACTGACTGCGAAGGTCATAGACGTTCATATTGGGCTCGACGGTACTGCACGAGTGTCCAATTTGGGGCGGCACTTTCCATCCTGTTGCCACCAGAGGATTGAGACCGCTCGTGGAATGGCCCCGATCCCTGCACAGACCCGCGTCCCCAGATCCCGCACAGGAGTAGCGTCGACACCGACGTGCCATCACTTGAACTGCCAAACCACCTGCGTCCAAGCGCGGTGTGGTGCGGTTACAGGCACACAGCGTGACGCGTGGCAGCGTGGATATGAGTCACAGTATGTTGCCAACTCACCCGACGATGAAGGCCCATTTTATATTCGTCAGCACGCAAATTAAGGTGGAGACCGGTGGCGCTGGTCGTTAATAATAATTTCCCACATGTTTACGGGGTGGGCTGCAATGTCGCGATCACCGCCGTTCATGTACGCTCATTGTCAATGTTAGAGCGGCAGCTTAAGAGTCGGTGCAGGCGAACAGCGGGATTAATCAGCAGCGGTGTGTGGCAGCGCAGCACGCGCGCCTCAGACCGCGGGCGACCGACGGCGGCGCCGGACGCGCTCCCCGCCATCCTGTGCTCAGACCCGCAGCGTCGGCGGCTCTCAGCTCGGCGCCGTTTGACGGGGCGCCTCCGCAGCCCGGCACCAGAGGGGACGCGGTCGCCGCGGCCCTCCCCAGCCCAGCACCAGTGGAGGCCGCGCGGGTCCCGATGTCGCCGCTGTCTGCCGTGCTGCTCGCCTGCGTGGTGGCCGTGGCGCGGCCGCGGCAGCCCGGCACGCTCTGCCTGCTTCCGTCATGGTCGCGGGTTCGCCGCCTCCGCCGCCCGGCGGCCAGTCCTCTCGGCGCTCCAGTGCGCTGTGCTCTGCGCGCAGCGGCGCGACTGCGGCGGGCGCCAACGTGCTGCGCCTGCCGGGCCACATCTCGTGCCAGCCGCTGGCCGAGGACCTGGTGCGCGTCGCGCCGCGGGTGGGACGCCGGCCCGGACGACCTGCTGATGGACATGACGCGGCCGCGCTCCTGCCAGGAGGCGCTGGACCGGGACCCGGGTGCCGCCAGCGGCCTCTACTGGCTGGCTGCGCCGCCGGCGCCGGCGCTCTGCGACATGACGCAGGACGGCGGCGGCTGGACGCTGCTGCTCACGGCCACGCGTCAGGACGGCTGGAACGACAGCAGTCTGCTCGAGCGGAACGTGAACACGCCCAGCATCTCCAGCGACTACTCCATCCTGGGCTACGCCGACGCCATCAAGGCGCCGGCGGGGCAGCTGAACTTCCTGTACAGGTGAGGGGGTGTGCACTGCGCCCCAGCCGCGCCTCGCGCGGAAGAACGGAGGCTGGCGCGCGGCATCTGCGAGGTTGCATTGTCATGCGTATCTGCGAGACTGCCTTGTCATGCATGCACTGCCTCCGCTCTCCGCATAAGTACGTTTTGTTCTACGAGTTAGGATCACGAGTGCGTACGAGCTCCTCTCGTTCTCGTACAACACGCGTCAGTCCCAATCTCAAGGTCGTTCCGTGCAGCACGCGCTGGCTGGGCGGCTCTGCCCCGAGCCGCCGGCTCGTGTTCAGCGTCCAATGCTTGTCCGGGACGCGCGGTCGCTGCTGCCGCCGCTCCGCTCATGTTGCGTGTTTCAGACTGGAGGCGCAGGCCCAGACCGGTCGCGGCCAGTACGGGGGCATCTGGAATGCCAGCACCAGCCTGACGGCCAACGAACCGCGCCCGTCCAAGCTCGTCACGCGCTTCGGCTCCTGGCAGACCTCCACGGTGACCCCCGAGGACTTCGTCCCGTGGATCATCGAGTCACACGACCGCTTTTTGCTGACCACCAGCTCGGATGACGTGTATTGGGGCACACTCGTTACCCGAGACGAGGCGGAGACGAACTACCACCACAGCCCGTGGATCGACGACATAGACTCGGGCACTGTGCTGTACTGGGTTCGCTAGGTGCGGTAGCAGGACACCAGCTCACTCAGACGCGTCGGGCTCCGCTCCCGCCTTTCCGTGGCTTGATTGCACTCAGTGCTGGCGGATACGTGCGCGCATGTGTTAGCAAACGCTTGGGAACTTTCAAAATTTATCCCGAATTGTACTACATTTTTAGTAAAAGACATTAGTAATAGCCTCATTCCTCGGAAAAAACGGCAGAATGGAGATACAGATGCGTCGATATTTCGGCAGCATGCCTTTTCGGAACAACAGCGAAGTGGATAGTGAGCAAGTTATGCGGCACGCCCTGCCGCATAACTCGCTTGTGGCATATACTCGCATATGCTCGCTAAAGCGGCAAGCCCAATAGCAAGATCTCAAGTCATGCGGCTTTATTGCCCACGCGCCTCATGTGTTCACCCTGCCCGGTAACTAGTAATAAGCACGAATTTCACTTGGGGTCACCCCTGCGAGTGCGAAGTAAGAGCTTATCCCGGCTTCTCGCACGACTTAAACCTATCTGAACTGTCGCAGAAGACGTTGGGAACGCACGCACCTAGCAGCCGCCGGCGTAGCGGACGCCATTTTCTTAGTCCGTGCCCAGTCGCTGGCCTGTGGCATACCCAGATGACGAAAATCGACGTACGCCTCGCGTGACGCGCCGCGAGCGGCGCTGCAGTCACGGGACCGCGGCCGGCCCGCACAAAACTTCGCTTGGTGTCCACTACTTTCATCAGCGGGCCGGGGTGGGCTGGATGCGACTCTGGCCAGACCACGCAACGCACATCCTGAGGCCAGGCGTAGTCGTTCGGCGCCGTGCTGCACTTGTTTCGTTTGCAGCACTCAGCACCAATAAACGCTGGCACGGGTTCGCCATGTCCCTGTATTTGCTTGATTATGAGTCGGACGCGGGTGGTCAAAGACACCGAAGCAGTTCCCCACCACAAGGCCGACACAGCGTCTCCATGGTGACAAAAAACACCGTACCACGCCACAGCAGCCGAAACCAATCAGGAACCGGCACGGATGAGCTCCGTGATTCTACCCCCTCCCCCCTCCCCCGAGCTCCCCACCCGTGAGAGAACGAGCGGAAACGGGCGGCGTCGCAGTCAGCACGGCGCCCTCCCTCAGGATCGCTTACCGGCAGCAACGGAGCCGCTTCACACAGGAGGAGTCCGCCGGGCCACACACACAACACAGCTCACCACCGTCGAACCCCTATGAGACTTTGTATGACGGACACGGACGACAAAATGAGGCGGCTGCACCGGGGGCCCGCAGCCAACCGACACAGCGTGGACCCCGACGACGGCCTACAACAGCCCCTGCCGTTTCAGGTCCTCGAACGTCTTGCGGTTGACCACGTTGCCCTGCGAATCCTCGTACTCCTCCTCGGCGTCGGCCTGCCACCTGCCGGAGGTCTTCTGCACCTTGAGCCGCTCCCAGAGCGCCAGCGCGTCCTCGATCTGCGTCACGTTGGCGAAGTGAGCCGTGTTCGGAATGCCCAGGCAGCGCATGCCGTTGGCGTGCCGCCACTCGGCGAAGTGACGCTGGAACGCCTTGGGCCCCTTGTAGACGAAGTTGCCGCATATCTCGCAGGTGTAGCTGATGTTCAGCCCGTGCAGCTTGTACAGCCAGTAGGGGATGGGCTTGCCGTCCCAGCCGAGCGGCAGGTTCTTGGGGTTGTAGGGCACGTCGTCTTCCTCGTCGTCGCTGTCGGGCTCGCTCGCCTCGGCGTCCGACTCGTCGCGCTCGCCGTCAGTGCGCGCCTGACGCCGCTCCACGTTTTCCTTGGTGGCGGCGCGCTGCTCCGAGAGCGACTCCACGAACCAGTACACCTGCGGCACGGCCGCACGCCGTCAGCGGCGCCGCAGTCGGTGCGACAGTACGGCACCTGCCAGGCGCTGACACACAATGAACGACACCGGCGATAATAATACCCCTTTGTTTTCTTGCTGAAGTCTTAGTTTTTAACCGCAGTTCATGGCAAGTTGCCACATATTCGTCTCAAGATCTGAGCCGGGATACTGCATGGTTAGAAGGCAACCACGCCTCTGAATACACCAAGAGCGCACATTTTCGTATGTTTGGGTAACGTCGAGGATGCCGGGCAAAGAATATGCACATCTTGCCTTCCTACTCCGCACCATTCTACAAATTTTCCCTGCACACCAATCTAATTTCGCGAAGCATGGGGGGGGGAGGGGGAAGAGGGGCGGGAGACGAGACAGGGCACGCTAGGGACGTGCCAACGGAGAAAAGGCACACGAATAGGATGCAACAGCGGAACGGGCACGTCCCACTGGGAGCATGACGTATGGGGAGCTGGCGGGGAAGGCATTTTGGTGCCTCACTCAACTGCCCAACTACGTAACATAACAGTGGCCTCAGTCCAATATCCTGTTGAAGCAATGAGCGAACTCAAAAAGCTTCAGAATCCTACGATATAGCTGAAAATACAGTAACGTACGCATGCTGTTACAAGTCTTCCACAACAAGAACACTTTAGTGCTCGAAGTTCACATCGAACATTCCACAAGACTATGCTAGCCTTCACTGACCTGGGCCTCGAGGAATGCCAGGTCGCGAGACTTCTCCGCCTCCTTATTCTTGCCGGCGCGGAGGTTCTGCTTCTTGGCGAACAGCGACTGGTCCACGTCCTGCAGTCGCTTCCCTGAGACACACACCGACTAAATTAGCCCGATCGGCCCCAAACCATACTCCCCCGTGCGCAGAAGCAAGCGCACGCAGTTACCGCACCTCGTTCGAACGGAGGTCGCTACAACCGCGATGTGGGTCGTGCGAGTCAGGCGAGTCGAGAACGGTCGAGCCGTCTCACAGAATCAGTGGCGCACCAACCCCGAACTAGCAATGATGCTCAGAAGGAAGGCCCTCTGTTGGGAAGAGAAAATATTATGGATTGACACCCACCCGTCGACCCGCCTTGAAATTTCACGCGCTAAACCAATCACATCACTTCTGGTGCCAGATGCAGGGTTCGCACCGTCGATGAACAAATTCCACGTGGCGTTGGCACCTTCTATTGACAATAGCCCTTCCGCCAGGTACCTTTTGAAGACACTAAACACGCCACGGAGCCGGATCCTTCGACAGGAGACAAAGCCGGCCGGCAGCTGTCCCGCGCGCGGCCCACTGTGCCGTACCTTTCGTGGAGAAGAGCCGCTGGGCGCGCTCCTCGAGCGTGCCGCCGCACTTGAGGCCGAGCGCCATCAGCGCCGATTTGAGCCGGTCGAGGCCGAGCGAGGCGAGCTCCTCCCACGAGGAGAAGGCCGACAGGTCCAGGTGCGCGCCGCCGTGCGTCAGCGCGCCGCCCGTCTCCTTCGGCCAGCCGGGGAACGTTCCTGGGAAGGCGGAGAGGAGGATAGTCCGAGGCAGAGCGCGAGATCACACACGCGGCCTTACATGTAAGGCCAAGCTCAGGGGTACGGGATGGGGGGAGCAGGTCAGTGACAGGGTCACACAAGACTTCGCAAGGCAGGGCACGCTCTGAGATGGAGAGGAACACACCAGACACTCGGGGATGTTCGTGTCATCGCGGTTGGTGGGAATGCCCCCAGCTGCGGCCACTTGACTTCACAGACGGTTGGGAGTGTCAGGGCCCTGGTCATAGTCTTGCAGGATGGGCCAAGTGTCAGAACTCTGAGACAAAGCGGACGGAAGGTCTTAACACCTCGCGGGGTATTACGGAGGGCAAGAGGAGGGGAGCACTGGGGCTGGGGAGCGCTACGCGTCGCCTGACAAAGAAATAGGAAAGTTTTCCTGCGTGCTCGCGGCGGGAAAAGCGATGGAATGCTACTAAACATGTCCAGTGGATAGAAGGTCCAAACGAGAATCACGTACAATCCAGAGGCGCAAAGCCTACAGAGGATTGTGATTTACGTCACTTAGACGTGCTGACGTCAAGCTTAGCATACGATGAAGTGATTTAAAACGCGCCATGCAAGAAGTGAATGTCAAAAAGATAAATCCAGCCAAGTGGACAACATAATTGAGCAATATCATTGTAAACTTCCACTTTCCTGGCTGAAAGTCACCTGGCACGGCAACATCCAGCCGCAGGCCTCACCTGCTTCCCACTTCTTGTTGAACTCCTCCAACACGGTCTTGATGCTCTCCTCGACGTCTGTCAGCGGCTTCACCCTGAGAAGGTAGTCGTGTAGGTAGTCGAGCAGCGTCTCCAGATAGGCGCGGTACTCGGAGTTCTTCCGGTCGCGCGGCACCTCGAACAGCTGGTCGAACACGCTGAGGTAGGTGACGTAGTCGACCTTCTCGACGCCCTTGAGGTTGACGTACTTGGTGTAGCACTCGTGCATGTCCAGGTACTTGCCGTAGCCCTCCTCGTCGGTGAACTCGGCCATCACCGTCTCGTCGTTGCTCTGCTCGCGAACCTTGTCCAGCTCGTCGAAGTCCATCGACATGGGCACGCTGATCTCGTTGGGGTGGCGCTTATGGAAGTCCTTGATGGTCTTCAGGCGGTTGTAGAACTCGGCGAACTCGTTGGGGCCCGGAGAGCGCGGCCACCTCCTCCTTTCGCACGCCGTCCTTGTCCTCATACAGGTCCTTGAGCATCTGGCTACAGTCGAGGTGGCGGTCCAGCATCAGCTTCAGCCTGTGGTCGGAGTTGATCCGGTCCCGGTTGGAGGACTTCTTGTGCAGCATCTCTTTCTTCATGGCCTCGATCAGGCGTTCCCGTTCCTCGTGCTTACTTCTCTGCTGCTCCAAGAGCGTTTCCATGGCTGGAGTCTGACAGCACAAGCCTCAATGGTCGCCGTTTGCCACAAAGTGTAAATAGGTTCCTGCAAACATAAGAGAGTGGGTTCTGAATAGTTGTCACCATACACAACATCAGAAGTGTAACTGAGAAGAACTGTATACCTGGCTCACCCAAAACATGCAACAATCAAATGTGAGTGCCATATAACAATGCCATGGACTTGAAACAGAGCACATTTTAAGTTGTTTATCTTCACATGAAGTATATGTTGAAAAACCGTAGACGGCCGAGGGAGCATTTATGTTCCCCAGGTGGTAGTCATCATCATTGGGGCTTTACAACACACTCAGCTGCTGGGGCCATATGGCCTTGCTACGTCCCTCACCCCGCCATGTCTCGCCATGCCCCATCACACCAAAGCTCTTAAAAACGCAAGTGTCCAGAGACGTGGTGATAATGGATTAAAACATACTTTGAGCAGTAGAATTCATGAACATCTCCTCACAAATTGTCATTTCTGGAGCACAGAGGGTAATGGGGAAAGAGAACATTCTGTTCAGTGCTATCATGCAAGGCAAAGCACAAAATGCCTGATGACATAATATGTGATGTTTTCTTATGCAAAATGTTTCAAGTTGCATGATGGACAGAAAGCAAACAAATATTTGGAGGGCTGTGTCATTCATGCTCTAAAACTTTTGCAAAAACATGATGTAGATTGATGATAGCATGATAACACCATGGTACAAGTGATGCTAGAAGTGGTGATGGCATTTGATAGTCATTGACCCTGAGGGTACAATAATGGCAGCCACACCCGGGCAACTCAGGATACAGTATTGCTGTATGCACACTACAATTCACTATAAATTTTACATTTCCCTTTCAAAAACATTTTATATCCATATGCTTATGCAAGGCCAGGAGCAAGGCCAGAATTGACTGCAGGTATTAAAGGCATCATCGAATATTCTTAAGCCAGTGTGAGGGAATATTGCCATCAGTCTTTGGTCTTTTGGCAGAGCAGTCTTTTGGGGGATTCAGTCTTTTGGAATCTAGTTAGCATGGTACTAGCTTTGCAGCAATGCAATCCTACCAATGTGAGGTAGGTTCATTATGGTCAAAATTGGGAATATCACCTTCTGACATGTAAATTTCTTGTTGCTCTTGATGCACAATAATTTGTCTATGTTGTAGCAATGACACTGATGATCAGAAATGCTCAGTTTCAAGGGAGCTGACATTTGCGATTGTGATGAGCATGAATCTACCTATTTTGTGATTATTTACGAGATGTCCGGTCAGGGTGTACTTTCCTACCTAACGTTAGAAAAAATCATTGTACACCATTCGTCGTGTTTAAGGCAGGACATATCATAAATAATCTCAAAACAGGTAGAATCATGCTCCTACCTTCAAATTTCAATAACTTCGATGGCGGGCTCCCGAGCGCCGCGCGCACCGCACCGCCTGGACTCCCCAGCGCCGTTTCTGCGCTGCCGTTGCGTAAATACAATATTTCTGCTTACCAAGAACTCTATAAAATGTACAGGACCAAGGTAAACCATTCGTCGTGTTTAAGGCAGGACATATCGTAAATAATCACAAAACAGGTAGATTCATGATCTTACCTTCAATTGTTTATAATTACGATGGCGAGCTCCCGAGCGCCGCACACACACAGCACCCGCGAACCAGCGCCATTACTGCGCGGGTCACAACATTACTGCGCATCAAGCAGCATCAAGAACCATAAAAATGTACCGGGCCAAGGTAACAAGAATCCATGAAATTTGATCCTCGACGCCAACGGGACCATGGGTTGCAGGGGGATTGGGTGGGGAATGTAAAGCAAAATGGGAACATGCAGCTAAATAAAAGCTCACTATATGGCACCTATATATGGCATGGAACATGGACGCCAATGGGATGCTGGGTTGAAGGGGATATAGGGTGGGAGGTTAGGCTAGGTTAGGTTAGGTTAGGTTAGGTTAGGTTAGGTTAGGTTAGGTTAGTTAGGTTAGGTTAGGTTAGTTTAGATTAGTTAGGTTAGGTTAGGTTAGGTTAGGTTAGGTTAGGTTAGGTTAGGGTAGGTTAGCTTAGCTAAGCTTAGGTTCTGGTCAATTCTCAGGTTAGGTTAGGTTAGGTTAGGTTAGGTTAGGGGAGGTTAGGTTATTTTAGGTTAGGTTAGGTTAGGTTAGGTTAGGTTAGGTTAGGTTAGGCTAGTTTAGGATATGTTCTGGACAATTCTGGCCTGTGTTTCATAAATGTACCTAAACTTGATAAGAAACGATTTTGGTTGCTTTATTATTGTTACCTTGGTCCCGTACATGTTTTATGGTTCTTGATAAGCAGAAATATTGTGCTTTCGCAACAACGCAGAAACGGCGCTTGGGAGTCGAGGCGGCGCGGTGCGGTGCATGCGGCGCTCGGGAGCTCGCTATCATATTTATTAACATTCGAGGGTAGGAGCATGATTCTATCTGTTTTGAAATTATTTACCATATGTTCCGCCTTAAACACGACAAATGGTTGGTTTACCTTGGTCCCGTACATTTTGTAGAGTTCTTGGTAAGCAGAAATATTGTATTTACGCAACAGCAACGCAGAAACGGCGCTAGGGAGTCCAGGCGGTGCAGTGCGCGCGGCGCTCGGGGGCCCGCCATTGAAGTTATTGAAATTTGAAGGTAGGAGCATGATTCTACCTGCTTTGAGATTATTTACCATATGTGCTGCCTTAAACACTACGAATGGTGTGCAATGATTTTTTCTAATGTTAGGTAGGAAAGTACACCTACATATGTGCAAATGTACAAATGTACCCAGGACACACGTACTACAAAGTACATATGTCCTGCCTTAAACACGACAAATGGTGTACAATGATTTTTTCTAACGTTAGGTGGGAAAGTACACCCTGACCCAAAAACTAATATGAATCATGGACAACATCATTGGCTCTCCTAACAAGACCCAATCTCAGTTGGGCAGTCAACACAAATGCTGAATGACTTGGCTCAACACTGACTTTGAAAAATGATTTAATTACCAATATCATTATTATAGCAGACAATGACTTTGCAATGGTCCTGAAAGACTGATTTACCAAATAAATGCATAAAATCAGCATGCAAAGTTTAATTTGAGACAAATCCAGGCTACATTGATTCATACACTATTATGATATGAGTCAAAACTGACTGAACTGGAATGTGACCTGACAAGCGAACAAATCGCAACGAAGTCATGATCTGCATCGGATCTGCATCATTCAGCATGATTTACGAATCCATGGCGAGCCGAATCGCAAAAGCTTTAACCGGACACAGGTCTACTCGAGGCAACAAATTGGTTTTGCGTCACACATATACATACCTACGACAATAGCTCCCACATTAATTCGGTGCGCTTGTGTTACAACCAGCTCAACCAAAACAACCCCTCGCAAAACAACTGCAACGCTTCGATAGCTCCCCGCGTGCGTCGAAACCCGTTTCCCTGTGCCGCTCGTCCTATTCGTCTAATTCCGCAAGCCATACGCTACAATTATGACGCATGCTGCTATAAATACGTTTCCCTAAATTACAATTGTACTCACTGCATACATACCACACCATAAATAAAGACCCACCATCACCTAGCGGATATACGCTTCGGTGCAGTTTCCCATTCAGCAGAAGTGGGAGGGCTTCAGCCCTACAAATTTTGCAAGAAAGTGGGTAAAATCCTTGGGAAAACCTGTTTGTTGACATGTTTGGGAGGGCAGGTTGTCATTTTCCTCACCGTTCAGCACCACCCTTCCGATCTCTTTTGCGAAACTAAGCTCCTTGACGGACGAGTTACCTCACCTCACCTTATGGTGACCAGGAATTTAAAAGGTCACTTGATGTGTCGATTCCGATCTCTTAAACTTCCCGTTCAAGCAACCGAACTGTTTCAAATTAGGAATAATATCGACGTGGGTTGTCATGCACGTCAGCCCAGTGTAAATTGAGCACAGATTTAAACTGTTCAATTGGGGTTGGCGATATTACTACAAGTGGGAGAGCGTTCCAAACATTTACGAGCCGCGTACTGAAAGATTTTCAACGGAAGCCCCAGTTGGAGGTTTTCTTAGCTTCTACTAGTGTCCTGTCCAATAGCGCAAGCGAGGGGCAGGGGGCATGTGTCCACCTTAGGTTCCGGTGGACCCTCACGAGTAAAAGCCCGAAAAGCTATCCAAAGGTCTCATTCATGGGTCCCGGCTCGCAGGGCCGGGCACTCAAACGCCAGCCAGATGGCCCTGCGCGCTGATCAGGGGTTTACTTAGTCGTTAGGGTCAATATTTCGATCAGACACCACCAGTAGCGCACAGTCGGCTCCGTGGCAAGGGCCTGAGGGCGCATTTCCCAAGCAGGGACAAAGCCGGAGCCAGCTATTTACATTTCCAGGGGCCCACAGCGCCCAACAGGGGCTCTGTACTGTCAAGGGGTCCCGAGCCGACCAAAGGCAGTGTTTGGGGAGGTCCGAAGAGCCTTGAGGGTCCAGCGGGTCCGACGACCAAGGGCCCGATTGGAGGGTCTAAGAACATAATAAACTGGTCGAAGTCTTATTCAGGGGCTCCGACCTGCAAAGACGGACCTGCAGATGACGATCAGAGGGCCCTTTGCGTCGATCGGGGACCCCTGAGTCGATATGGGCCCATATATCAGCCAGGTGCCGCCGTACCACATAGCCGGCTTCGTGTCGGTATGGGCCTGAGGACCCACTTCCCAATCAGCTCTAAAGTCGGGGCCAGTGATCTATACTGGTCGAAGGCCTTGTATATGTCAGGGGCCAACTGCGCCTAACAGAGGGCCTTGTGCTCGTGAGGGCCCCAAGCCGACCAAAGGAAGTGTTTGGTGAGGCCCGGGCGTCCCACCGGAACCGACTATCAAAGGCCCGTTTGGAGAGCATAAGAGCCCGAAGGGTTGACTGTAGGCCACGTAAAAAATCGCGGCCCGTAGGGTCGTGACGAGAACTGCCAGCTTGATGCTTTCTTACACCGTGTCTAAGTCAGCCAGACACCACGAACACCGAACAGTCGGTCCCATGCCCGTCTAAGTCCGTGAGACCCATTTCCCCAGCAGAAACGAGGTCGGGGTCCACGATTTGCAATGTTCGCAGTTCCTAACACAATAAGGTCCCTGGCTCCTGTATCGGTTGAGGACCACAGTGCCGAACAGTGGTCTTGTGGCGACACGTGGCATCGAGTCGGAGCGGTGTTTGAGGAAGCCCGAAGAGGGGCCGAAGGGCCTGTTGAGACCAAAGATCAAGGGCCCGATGGGATGGCTGAAAGGTCCAAAGGGCTGGCTGTAAATCACATCAAATCACACATTTAGAAATATTCCGTATGTACATTTCACCTGTGTGTTTTTTAGATTGGTGACAATAACGTATTGGTCTTTACGACAGCGCAAAGTGTTTTTGGAATCTGTTTGTGGAACTGGAAGAGTAAAGCTTAGATTTTGATTTGTCGTGTTACTGTGACTGTTTATTTGTCCAGAGGGCAATCTCATAGCTGTAAAGAGATTCACCCAGGGTAATCTTTCAACCGTACGAATTAGTTTTAAAAGACATTGAAAGACAGTATTTTACTATGGTCGTTGTTGCGCGCTCGATGCCCGCCCCTGGCGTTACTCGTAGTCGTCCACGCCGTTCGGTTTCACGAAAACTGCACTCCAAGCCATCTCTATCCTTGCTCCCCGAGATTACGGGCGTATCCGTCATTGGGGGTTAATGACGCACCCAGCTGCTGGGGCTATATAGCGTCACCAGCGTCTCACCCTGGCGGGAAGGGCGTGCACCGCGGGGAATCGACTCCATGCCTGTGGTTTCCCAGACGCGCAATGGTTAACGCAAGCACGTTAACCACCACACTATCGGCACTCGGTACGAAGGCGCGAGCCTTTTGATGTCATTTGTTTCACTACTCGATTCTACAGAATGATAAACAACGTTCTCAGGGAGACATGGGATTGCCTTGTGCGTTTTCAACTCATTTCGACCCACTCCATTCAGCACTAATGGGACCCTTATTTCTGGTAAAGGGCCCCCCTTGAATGCAACACTTCGGGGCATATTCTTGTTCCCGGTCAAGGGCTGAAGGGTCATTCTGCCCCACCGTGGTGTGTTTTCCGGCCGTAATTCTGGCAACACAGGGCGGCATCCCCTGGCCGATCCGGAGACCCTTGGAGGGATACATCATATCACATTGGTCCGTCCCCTAACGCGGGAGGCTTTCTGACCGCGCAGTAGGCACCGGATCGAGGCATGAACCGTCATTAACGCAACAACATCCCTGCTCACCGCAGGTGGTCAAATAATTGGCACATAGACTCCAGTTGTACTTAACGGGCCAATGCCGGAAAAGGGTTGGGCGGCGTACAGTTCGGTACTGGGGGCCCTGACTGACCCAGCGCTCTTCTTTTACCTCAGTATGAGCACTCATGATAAGTTCCTGTTTCCTTTAATTGTCAGAGGACCCCAACCAACGCAAAAGAGACCCTCTGCCATTCGGGCTCCCGTCCCCCTCCCTGTTGAACAAATCTTCCTCCGACCTATTCGAGGCCCATTTTGACACAGAATGTCCTGTGAGGCACTGTGGATCCCTGAGCGATACAGGAGCCCGACCGATGTAAATCGCGGGCCTGGCCCTGTCCCTGCTTGGGAAATGGGCCCTCAAAGCTCAGACCAACACAGACCCAACTGTTCGTTGTTCATGATCGCTGGCCAAATTAGAGGAACGCTCTGTCTCAGGGGTCCCTGTCGGTTCAAGAGATCATATTACTGATTTTGAGATCACAGCCCAATTATGGGCGTAAATGTAACACGCAGTGTCCACGCTGCGCGGCCTCAGGATACTGCAACGCCCGGCGTCGAGTTCTTTGTGTAAGATACACAAGCGCGCATGCTCAAACTACGTTACGTGATTTGCACCACTCATCACTTCTGACTGAATGTTAAATATATCCAGACAAACATGGCGTGGCCATGTTAATACAACTTGATGACTCATTTCGATATTCAATCTACATTCGTGGAATCCTTGCTATGTCTGTACAACCCATATAATAATTCCAACAAAGTTTTTGAGCTCTATCGGTTTAAAAAAAAATTCAGGACCATTGTAAAATGAACAGCGCCGGCGATCTATGTTATGAATTCATTTGCTGCGTGACTGTCAGTTTGTATACTATAAACCTAAGGCAGCATTGATCTCGGGGTAAAATCTGGCCTTTATTCCAGTTATAGAAGGTAAACATGTGTAATATACACGTACACACACACACACACACACACACACACACACACACACACACACACACACACACACAATATTATATATATATATATATATATATATATATATATATATATATATATATACATATGTCCTCAATAGCAAATAGGCCATGTCCGGCAATTTCTCTTGGGGGTCCTTTTACTATCAGGGGGCCTTTGTCAGCCCTCTGCCCCCCCCCCCTTGCCAAGGCTCTGGCTGCGCCCCCGCTCCTGTCACCTCCGATTTGTGTCTTGTCAGATACCCCACTGTTAGCGACATGCCTCCATTAAATATTTGAAACACTGAAACCATGAAAACGGCGGTGATGGCGGCACAGCGAGGGCGGCTGGGGAAATCAGAACCTCTCTCGATATGGCCGCCCCACTTAGTGGACAAAACGCGCCGCTTCCCTGAACCCGCTTCAGCTGCTCCTGGTCCAGTTTGCCGAACGGGCCCCTAGGCAATGTCGTCATCCTCCAAAAACGGGCGTACTATGGTCCTGTCAGCACTACAGCCTGTTTCGAGCCACCGCGTAAAACGTTCCAGTATTTTCTCGTGATTTTTATGTGGTATTATTTTTACCGAAATGCTCTCTTACCGCTGCGATATTGTTGCATTGATCCAGGGACGGCACGACAGGACAGGCAGAGCGTCCTAACGCAGGCTCCAGCGAAAACGAGTCTGACTCTAACATCGACTCCGCTCAAGCTGGAATCGGATTCAATTTTTACTCCATGGGCTATCCTGCTGAATCGCGTTCGGAAATGATTCGCGCACAATTGACGTCAAGCATTTGACCCTTGTGGCTCTGTTTTCCGGCAACAAACTTTAAAAAGAAACATCCAGCACGAATCTGCGGATCCCATTTTCGTAGCGGACATATCAGATAATATGCTGGCCTTTCCTATCTACTCATCAGCATCAGGACTCCACCGTAAAAGAGTAGCGCAATTTAAAGAAATTAATTGAAAATCGAGCAAACGACGCTGCAGGCGCACGAAACTGTTAACTGGGTTAAATACCCTCGCGTGTTCTGGACCGAATTTTTCCACATCTACCTGGAATTTTTGCCAGCCAGCGTACGTGGTAATAAATGTCATATTTTGGTTAACGGGGGAGGGGGACATATGCTCCGGAGACTAAATGTACGCTCCTGATCCTAACAATCTCTGACGCAGCACCACTGACCTGCGA